TTGACATCGCAGTTAGGCTCAAGCGCTCAATTGCCGTTAAGCGATCCGAGGTCTCAGAGCGATAACGCTCAAAGGATCGACGATGTCGATCGACACGGTCACCGAGCGATGACAGGTGAGGCTTCACCGATGCAAGAGCATCACGCTTCAGGAGAGTCAGGCGACGCTCGATCTCAGAAAGATGAGAGGTCAATGGGTCATCGACCTCCTCCGACGCTGATTGATGAACTGGGTCATCAACAGCTCCACGTGGAACATCTCCTGGCTCGGCTTCGTTACCAGGGTCATACCCAATACTTGGTGAAGTGGAGGGGTTACCCCCCGTCGTACGACTCGTGGGAGTACAAGTTAACCCCCTCCGGCAGGATTGCCCTGACGCCGTTGACGCTTTTTATTAGGACGGTCAGAAGCGACGACAGCTGTCGTCGGACGCTTCCTAGCACTAGGTGCTGTGGAAGTAGGGTCAGTAGGCTGGCTTCGCCTCTGACCTTCAGAAAAAGCCAACGCCGGTACATCACTCGAGTGAGAGGTACGGGCAACAGCTTCAGAAGCTTGATCCCCACAAGTCTTTGACCTGTATGTGGAAGGTAGTTGACGTTTCGCTTTGAGCTTAGCGAAGTTAAAACGTATATACGACGTTCTAACCAAACGTCTTGCGCTTTAGCGCTTAAAGCTTAAACGCAAGCTTGACAAATTTGAGAGCTTACATGCTTGTTCTACCCAACGGGTGAACTGGTGATCATCTTGTGCAGATGTTTCATCTTGTGCAAGCATCGCTGGTATGTAGATCAGTGGATGCACGGGCACCCCACGTGACTGTCGTGACAGTCGCTCCTGATACGATTTCATCGTAAACTCTTGGGGAATAAGGAGCCGCTTACGAAAAGCAGTACGATCCACAACCTCGCAGGCCGTACGGGCATGGGACCCAATGACATAGGTACACAAAGATTGCGATGCAGCTCGTCGAGATTCCTCATTAGGGTCTCGGGGCACGAACCCATAACCACGACGTGAAAATGTTTGTTTGGGCCGTGCCAAAGCGGCCGCTCGGGCCTCGTCATCAAGTTGACGACGCTGTGCAGCTTTAAGAGGTTTGTTGCCTCTTCGTCAGTACCCTCTCGCGAGGGAAGAGGAGGCGCTTGGCGCAAAGGGTCTGTCTCCCTTGGAGGGGAAGACACAGAATGGTATCGACGCCTGAGCGTGATGATCTTGGGTTACTTTGACCCGAAGGTGACTCGGCTCCGCCGCCCGTAAAGGCAACGTCACTGTCATCGTCCCCAATATGTCGTGACGCAATGCTTCATCCATGATGGAGCAAGCGCTATTGAGACAATTGCTTTATAAAAGCAAGTGTTCGTGAACACTGTAATGCTTACAAGCAAGTGTTGTGAACACTTTAATGCTTCAAAGCAAGTGCTAGGCACCTTGTGCTGTGAAAGCAAGTGTTCGTGAACACACAAAGGGTATTATGACCAAGTTCTTGGCACTTAACGCTTATAAGCAAGTGTCGTAACACTTAATGTTTTAGCTTGAGTGCGATGCACTATATGCTCAAAGAGCAAGTGTCGTAACACAAGGATGCTTATAAAGCGTGTGTGTAATGCACGAGTGCTCAGAGCAAGTGTTAAAAACACATAAGCTTTGTTCGCAAGTGCAAGCACTTATTGCGAGGCAAACAAAATGAGAAGAAGACAAAATCGATGACTCCAATCAAGTGCGAAAAATCGTGGGTACGTCGGATTGGTGGGGGGAGGGTGTAAAGGGTTTACACGAAGGCGTGTATTGTACATACACACCTGCCACACCAATGTGGTGTGGCTGTACCTTGGGTACAAGAGTAGGCTTGATGTGACCGTAACTGAAGTACAAAGGGTCGCATCGTGGCAGGGAGCCACGTGGTCACTATACTTATTTAAGTAAAGTGACTATGCATGTTTGCATAATAATAGGCTATAGAGCCAGTAAATAGTTACTAGCACTAAGTATAGAGTAGGTGCTTCTATATTTAGTGTTAGAAGATGAACATACATATAAATCAGTTTCAAACCTGCTCTATAAGCCTTACAGCTTGAGCGTGCTATTCCTCCTGAGGAATCGTATCATTGATACTAGTCTCTTTGCGACGCGGTTACAACAACCGATAGGAACAAGCTTGCGAGCTAGCCTTGGGAGGGTTAAACACCCTAAGACGTAGAATCTCTCTGAGCTTGTCTTCATCTGCACATAGTGCATAAGTAGCGTGGCTACAGTAGCTCGGCTACATTGTGTGTACCACATACTGACCGCGATCCAGATCCTGATCGCTATCCGAATCGTACACATGTGGATCAATCTTGCTACGTGGATTTAAATCCCATGCGTTTTGATATTGCTACTTGGTTTACTATCCTATGTGTTTCGATATTGCTATGTTTAGTCATCACTACGTAGATCCTGATCGCTGTCCATTAGTTTATGTATCGAATACATATTCTTACGTATTAGAGGCTACAGAGTCACATACATAGTCACTAGATCTAAGTATGGGGATTATACCGCCGTCATTGATGATATGATAGCCTATATCAGCCAATAGGAAGAGGCTTCAGTATATCGCCATTTTAAGTAATATCCCATGAATATCATCAACCTATTGAGATATGACTCGCATTGTAGCTAAGCTACTGTAGCCACGCTATTATGCACGTGTGCGAGTATGTAGCAAAGCTACTGTAGCTACGCTACTTATGCACTATGTGCAGATGAAGACAAGCTCAGAGAGATTCTACGTCTTAGGGTGTTTAACCCTCCCAAGGCTAGCTCGCAAGCTTGTTCCTATCGGTTGTTGTAACCGCGTCGCAAAGAGACTAGTATCAATGATACGATTCCTCAGGAGGAATAGCACGCTCAAGCTGTAAGGCTTATAGAGCAGGTTTGAAACTGATTTATATGTATGTTCATCTTCTAACACTAAATATAGAAGCACCTACTCTATACTTAGTGCTAGTAACTATTTACTGGCTCTATAGCCTATTATTATGCAAACATGCATAGTCACTTTACTTAAATAAGTATAGTGACCACGTGGCTCCCTGCCACGATGCGACCCTTTGTACTTCAGTTACGGTCACATCAAGCCTACTCTTGTACCCAAGGTACAGCCACACCACATTGGTGTGGCAGGTGTGTATGTACAATACACGCCTTCGTGTAAACCCTTTACACCCCTCCCCCCACCAATCCGACGTACCCACGATTTTTCGCACTTGATTGGAGTCATCGATTTTGTCTTCTTCTCATTTTGTTTGCCTCGCAATAAGTGCTTGCACTTGCGAACAAAGCTTATGTGTTTTTAACACTTGCTCTGAGCACTCGTGCATTACACACACGCTTTATAAGCATCCTTGTGTTACGACACTTGCTCTTTGAGCATATAGTGCATCGCACTCAAGCTAAAACATTAAGTGTTACGACACTTGCTTATAAGCGTTAAGTGCCAAGAACTTGGTCATAATACCCTTTGTGTGTTCACGAACACTTGCTTTCACAGCACAAGGTGCCTAGCACTTGCTTTGAAGCATTAAAGTGTTCACAACACTTGCTTGTAAGCATTACAGTGTTCACGAACACTTGCTTTTATAAAGCAATTGTCTCAATAGCGCTTGCTCCATCATGGATGAAGCATTGCGTCACGACATATTGGGGACGATGACAGTGACGTTGCCTTTACGGGCGGCGGAGCCGAGTCACCTTCGGGTCAAAGTAACCCAAGATCATCACGCTCAGGCGTCGATACCATTCTGTGTCTTCCCCTCCAAGGGAGACAGACCCTTTGCGCCAAGCGCCTCCTCTTCCCTCGCGAGAGGGTACTGACGAAGAGGCAACAAACCTCTTAAAGCTGCACAGCGTCGTCAACTTGATGACGAGGCCCGAGCGGCCGCTTTGGCACGGCCCAAACAAACATTTTCACGTCGTGGTTATGGGTTCGTGCCCCGAGACCCTAATGAGGAATCTCGACGAGCTGCATCGCAATCTTTGTGTACCTATGTCATTGGGTCCCATGCCCGTACGGCCTGCGAGGTTGTGGATCGTACTGCTTTTCGTAAGCGGCTCCTTATTCCCCAAGAGTTTACGATGAAATCGTATCAGGAGCGACTGTCACGACAGTCACGTGGGGTGCCCGTGCATCCACTGATCTACATACCAGCGATGCTTGCACAAGATGAAACATCTGCACAAGATGATCACCAGTTCACCCGTTGGGTAGAACAAGCATGTAAGCTCTCAAATTTGTCAAGCTTGCGTTTAAGCTTTAAGCGCTAAAGCGCAAGACGTTTGGTTAGAACGTCGTATATACGTTTTAACTTCGCTAAGCTCAAAGCGAAACGTCAACTACCTTCCACATACAGGTCAAAGACTTGTGGGGATCAAGCTTCTGAAGCTGTTGCCCGTACCTCTCACTCGAGTGATGTACCGGCGTTGGCTTTTTCTGAAGGTCAGAGGCGAAGTCAGCCTAATGACCCTACTGTTGGAATTTGGCGTTGGTGAGGTCAGTGTGAGACTGAATTGAAATTCCAGTTTAGCAAAATTACAGTGGTTTCTTATATTTTTAGGTGAAGAAACTTTAAGTCAAGGTTTTTTAATTTACAAATAAATCCTTTTTTCTTATTAACGAAGACACGTATAACAACGCTTCGGGCTTGAGCGACGCGGTTGACACTAACACGTCAAGCCGCTGCTTGTAATCTTACGCATTACCTTTTTTATACTTGCACTAACCGGCATTTATTGAGTCGATTACGAATTAAAACACTAACCGGTTCCTAGTGTGAGCAGATACAAGGCGACATGCTATGTAATTTTCCTACAGGTTATGAGCCCAAAAGTTACGGGGTTCAAGACCAAAGTTGTAAATTTTTTCACGAATTGATAAGTTTACGACTCAGGACGATTTGAGTGGTACAAATTGGGAGGAGATACAATTGTCTCGTTGTTTTTGTTTGGTTCTCGTGTGCATTATGGATGAAGATAAAGTGGGTGTGGAAGCTTTGCTTGAATATGTAAAGCGCCTGGAAGGAAGGCTAGAGGCGATGGAAGAGGAGCTACTACAAGAGTACCTCAGCTCCTAGTACCTCGCCTGACTCACAGAAAGGCTCTGAAAACGGCAGTGTTTTCAGAGAAACAATCAAGAATAATGGTCCGTTCGGAAGGAAGATGACACTTATTGATTTAAGTGGTGATAACGGTATTGAACGAGGAGGTGCACGGCGTGCACAGAGTGGAAATGGACAGCAGAAACGAGTCCAAGGAATGGCAGGTGGTTCTGCTCCACAAGGAAACCCTGCAGGAAATCAGATGCGTATGGGTGGGAACATAAAAATCCCAAAATTAACCATACAGATCTTTACCGGTGCAGAAATCTATCCCGGTCTTGGAGCAGGATTTAGACAATGTGCCTACTCGTTTATAGAAGCGCTTGAATGGCGCAGTTGTTGTCTGGTGTTGCTTGGACAGAACGTTTGAAGGTGAACAAGCTTGGTCAACATTTAGAAGAAGTGGCAGCAGATTATGTTCAGGCAAATATGGCAAGTTTCGCAAGAATTGTATTTCGTTTTGGACCAAATGCTTAACGCTTTTAAGGTTAATATATCACATCACCAGGTAGCACTTTTGTTTGCTGCAGAAAAGGATTTTCGGAGGACGTGAACGCAACATTTCTTGTATCTGGTGGCTTTGGCGCGTGAAAGTGGGTCTCACGACAATTAATTGTTGAAAACATTGTGAAGTATGCTGCACCAATTTTGATGATGGGATCAATGATAAGATATAATCCTGCAGCACGCACAGGAACTTATTGCGTGGGCACAAGAGCTCGAAGACGACGCTGTAAAGTTCAAGAAACCAGCAAGACATCTTGTCAACTCTGTCGATGAACGAAAGAATAAGATGGAATGTTACGGCTGTGGGATGGAAGGACACATTAAAAGACTTTATCTTCTATTAAGGGTTACCAGTACAATCCGAACTCTAAGGCTTAGTATTTGCGGCAAAGTTCTTACAGATAATTACGTCATAATTGATTAGACGAGTAGCTTGATAGGAAGATCTACATGATTTATATGTCGACTACATATAAATCAGGACGTGAACAGTCGCAACTGATTTATATGTGGACTACATATAAATCAGTTGGTAGATAGAATAAGCTCTTATAAGTTAACCACTTTCCAATTTACTTTCTCCAGATCAAGCGTCTCCACTCTTCAAGTGCAGACCTCCGCCGCCTCCAACCAAGCCCTCGCAAGACCAAGACTCATACCTTCCATCAGGTTATGAGCCCAAGTACGATGTCCACTGCCCAAGTCGTGTCCTCCAAGGTCTCCATCGATAAGTTCGATGGGGACAACTACGCGACTTGGAGTCGTTACATGCGTGGCGTGTTCCTGACCAAGTCGGTCTGGCACGTCGTTAACCGTGAGACGACGCCGACCTTCGCGGACCCTCGTCCCATGGAAAATTACGTCCAAGTCCTCGGCTCCGTGACCCCTTGACTCGCAGCCTAAGCACCTGAGTATCCGTGGACTGTAGATAGTTTTTATCTCACGATGAGAATGCAATACCTGAAGGCAACATTGGATACCACAGGGATGAAGATGGTCACGAGTGTTGAGGGCAACTTAGTGACAGCAAAAATCACGAATCCCACAGACCGATGAAGACGCAATGAAGGCAGGTCGAATATCTTCAGACACTCGAAGATATTTATGACTGGATTGGTCAGCTGTGTCACCTCGTTTGGCTTCCATACAATCGGTTTGTGATAGTACGTTGAGGCGCTACCGCCTCATGCTACCGTCCACATGGACGCCGACTATCATCACGTGGTAGATGATTGTGAGGAAGGATGGGTCGCATGGGCGCGTTTGAAGACGCTTTACGGTGGATCGCAGAAGGCTGGGCGCATTTTTCTGAAGCGTCAGATTTTCAGTATGGAGATGAAGGAAGGCGGCAATGTGATGCATCATTGCAACGAGGTTCTCAACATCAGCGCCAAGCTTACCAGCATCGGCGCCAAGATGGAGGACGAAGACGTGGCGATCTGTTTGTTGCGCAGTCTCCCCAAGAGCTACGAGAATGTCGTGCTGACTTTGGAGATGAACAGCACTGAATTCCGATCAAGAGACGTTGTGAGGGTGCTTACGAATGAGCACATCAAGAGGCAAGGCGAGAAGACTGTATCGGTGAAAGTTGAAGAAGCAGCCAAGGCTTTCAGCACCGGGCGCGAGCCTCGCCAGTGTACGTACTGTGGAAAATTGGGTTACACGGCAGAGCAGTGCTGGATCAAGCAGAAGGATGAGAATCAAGGTGCTTGACGCGGCGGTAATCACCGAGGACGCGGAGCCAATAATGTGCAGTGGCAAACAGCAGCAACAACTACGAAGACGATTACGATCGAGTAGCGTTTGAGGTTTTGCTAGAAGCAGGACTATCGACGGGCAAGAACATGCCTGGAATGTGGGCGATTGACAGTGGAGCAACGCACCAGCGCCCCGCGCCTACTGGGTTCTAAAGTTCAAAGGCCAAGTGAGCGTTGTTTAGCAGAATGCAAAGTGATATATATTAGGGACTTAGTTCACTAAAAAGCTACCTCTAAGCCTAACGTTCTAGAACCTTCTAGAACCTACAGTGACGTCATTGAATGACGTCATTGAGTGACGTCATTGCCGCCGTCGGGCAAGTATACCGGTAACTACCGGTATACCAACTTACCCATATAAACAGAAGACTTACCGCGGACGATCTTCGACAACCGTTACCTTACCGGTATATCAGTACCTAAGCGGATAAACCTGCCGACTTGACAGTACCTCTTGCTGGTCGAGTCGCTTCCTGAACAGTCTCTTCGACAACAGGTTCCGCCGTTTACCCTCGGCAAACCAGAAGGTTTACCCATGGAGCGTCGGCCCTTCGAGGCCAAATATGCCTTTCTTGTAGGACATTTTGCCATCAAATGGCCTGTGCTCTTGCAGATATAACATTTGCGCACAATTTGCTGCTCCGCAGCTTGAAGCTCAGCTTCATCCTCCACCTGGCTACCGTCTATGGGTACAGACCCATCAGACGAGTAGTTATAAGTGGCAGGCCTAGCGGCCTTAAAGTTGGTCTCGGCATTCCATGCCACTCCAACAGCTTCCTCGAATGTGGACGGGTTTATCCGGAAGACTTCCGTTCTGGCAACGTTAACTCGGAGGCCCTCCATGAAGACCGTGACGGTCACTGCCTCAGGCATAGGGTCTATGACCGTGGCAGAAATGAGAGTTCTCAATCCTTGTACATATGCCGCAAGCTCACGCTTGCCTTGGCGACACGCCAAAACCCGCGACCGGTTACGGTGTGCTTGGTTTGGCGGTGCATACTGCCGGGTCATCTGAACTTTCAGATCGGCCCATGTGGGAAAAGCATCTTGCAATGATGCACCACATGTGAATGCCCACTGTTTGGCTAATCCGCCTAACTTGCCCGTGGCAAAGCCCACACGGTACGGTTCATAGGTGATGTTAGCTATAAACATAGCCGACTCGACCTGTCGGAACCAAAGCATAAGGTTGTCACCTTCTTTGCCGTCGAACTTCTCGACTTCCATTTGCATGGGTTTTGTTCTGCGGACCACTTCTTGCGCCATAGTCGCCGTGGACGAAGGCGCAGAAGAAAGCATCTGTGCCTTTACATGCTCGACTAGAGCGTTATTATATTCATCAAGCATATGAATACGCTTGTTAACCTCTTCTTCGCCCTGGGCGATTAGGTACTCCACGCCCTTAGGGCCAAGGATAGGGAGCAGCTTCTGCAACCCTTCCTTTTGTGCCTGTGACAGGCCAACCGCTGACATCTCATCAATGTCAATTCTTACACAGAAAAGTAGTCGCAAACCCAGGTACGGGAGTGACTACAAGTGCTACCAGGTGTAATCGAGCTACTGTAGCTACGCTACTTATGCACTACGTGCAGAGGAAGACATGCTCAGAGAGATTCTACGTCTTAGGGTGTTTAACCCTCCTAGGCTAGCTCGTAAGCTTGTGCCTATCGGTATTAACAACCGAGTCGCAGAGAGACTAGTATCAATGATACTGATTCCTCAGGAGGAATAGCACGCTCAAGCTGTAAGGCTTATAGAGCAGGTTTGAAACTGATTTGTATGTATGTATGTTTATCTTCTAGCACTAAATATAGAAGCACCTACTCTATATTTAGTGCTAGTCACGATTTACTGGCTCTATAGCCTATTATTATGCAAACATGCATAGTCACTATACTTAAATAAGTATAGTGACCACGTGGCTCTCTGCCACGATGCGACCCTTTGTACTTCAGGTACGGTCACATCACCTACTCTTGTACCCAAGGTACAGCCACACCACATTGGTGTGGCAGGTGTGTATGTACAATACACACCTTCGTGTAACCCGCACTTTTGCTAGCTGACTCTGAGGGTCGAGAACGCGTCATCGCGTTTGAGTTTCGTTAGCTGAAAGCTGCAGAGAAGAAGTATCCAGTATATGACAAGGAGCTACTTACGATGAAGTATGCCCTTGTTAAGTTCAGGGTACATACGTTGGGCTCAAGGCCGTTTGTGATCTATACAGATCATGCGCGTTGTTACGCACAGCGACACAGTCGCCTCATCTTTTGCAGAGGATGGCTCGTTGGCTCTCCTTTTTTGCGGAGTATAACTTCGAGGTGAAGTATAAGCCGGGAAAACAGAATGTTTTGGCTGACGCGTTATCGCGTAGACCTCACTATGAGCTTGCTCATCTCGCTGTTGTGAGTTCGTCAGTAACGGATTGTATCCGTGTGGCGTATGCACGCGATGAGGCATGTGTGCCATTATGCAGGCGCTGGGTAGCGCAGAGTTTGCAAACTCTAAGGTGAAGCTGTCACCACGTAATCGTGCAAGATTACATCGTTATGCACTGAGCGATGGTTTGTTGTACTATAGTACAGAGTCGAATGACCAGCCTCGTGTTGTAGTGCCTCAAGTATCATAGGCAAAAAAAAAGGTTAAGCCTATTCGCTGAACCTTCCAAAAAAGATGAGAACACATTCTGTGTTCTACGTGGGCTTGCTAAAGCCATACCTGAAGCCTCGGTGGACTTCGAGGGGTAAGATCGGACATCTCAAAGCGCTCATTCAACGCACACTTGGTTGCCGCGAGTAGACCCAAGTCGTTACACGCAAGAATGAGGTCGTCAACGTAGATCACCACGAACATCATGGCCGATCCGTCCCTCCTGTGATAGACACAGTGGTCCATCTCGCACTTGGCAAAACCGATCTTGAGCATGAAGTCATCAATTGTCTGGTTCCACATACGAGGCGATTGCTTGAGACCGTACAGTGCACGCTTCAGCTTGCACACATGATCAGGGTAGGTGGAGTTGATGAAGCCCTCGGGTTGCTTCATGTAGATCTCTTCGTCCAAACTACCGTTGAGGAAAGTAGTCTTGATATCCATCTGATGTAGCACGAGCTGGTACTGTGCCACGAGACTCAGGATGATCCGTATTGATGTGAACTTGGATACTGGTGCAAACGTTTCTTCGAAGTCGACTCCATATTTCTGCAGAAAACCCTTGGACACAAGTCGTGCCTTGTATCGCTCGACAAAACCTTCGACTTTTTCCTTCACCTTGAACACCCACTTGCTGCTGATGGCTTTCCGTCCGCGCGGCAATGGGACGAGCTCCCACGTTTCATTCTTGTTTAGCGACTCGGAGTCGGAGTCGGAGTCGTACGCTTCCTGCCACTTGATTGCATCATCGGATTCCATAGCCGGCTTGAACGTAGTCGGAATTTCCCCCGCTGAATCCATAATGTATGCTGCTTTGAAGCTCGGGCTTTCTTGAGCTGTTGCTGACATCTCGTCAAGCAAGACCTTAATGACGCTTGTAGTTGATAGACCTCATGGCTCTTGGAACTTGTGCTGCTTTCTCCAACGACTGCGTTCGTTGATGTCTTTTGCTGACCGAATCCATGTCTTCATCCCGCGCAGTTTCTTCTTCTTTTTTTCTTCGTCTTGTTGTTGCGAATCTTGATCCATAGCTTCTTCATCGTCTTGACGATCAATAGGGGCTTCTTCGGGTGCTTCATTACGTTTTCCCCCGTCGAAAACATTCTCCATGAATTGTGCATCACGCGGATCACCAGTACACGACCACTGTCCAGCTCTTCGAATCGATACGCTTTTTCATGATCTGAGTATCCGATAAAACGATAGCGTATCGACGAAGCATCAAACTTGATGTGCTTTTCTTTGGTAATCGTGACGTACGCGTGACATCTAAACACCTTCAGGTTTCCCAACAGCGGCCTTTTGCCAGTCCAAATTTGATGCGGCGACTTGTCGAGGCTGATTGCGCGTGAGAGACATCGATTGCGAAGAAACATGGCAGTCATGACTGCTTCGCCCCAGTATTCCTTCGACAATCCGGCATGCTCCATCATGCAGCGCGCGCATTCCACCAGCGTCCGGTTTGTTTGTTCAGCAACTCCA